ATGAAGAGATAGAAGGAGGTTGATAAATGTGTAGGAAGAGTAGACGGTGATTAAGGAGAGTTGTTATTGTTGTTTTGATGTTGTGAGTTATTGGTCCCAGTGTCCTTGTACCTGTGCTTGTGACCCATACCTGTGCTTGTGTCTGTACCTGTGCTTGTGTCTGTACCTGTGTGTGTCTGTACCTGTGCTTGTGTCTGTACCTGTGCTTGTATCTGTACCTGTGCTTGTATTGACCGTACCTGTGCTTGTGTCTGTACCTGTGCTTGTATCTGTACCTGTGCTTGTGTGTGTCTGTACCTGTGCTTGTGTCTGTGCACACATGTACCTGTGCTTGTGTCTGTACCTGTGCTTGTGTGTACTGTGCTTGTATCTGTACCTGTGCTTGTGACCGTACCTGTGCTTGTGTACTGTGCTTGTATCTGTATGTGCTTGTCTGTACCTGTGTGTCTGTACCTGTGCTTGTATGTCTGTACCTGTGCTTGTGTGTCTGTACCTGTGCTTGTGTCTGTACCTGGCTTGTATCTGTACCTGTGCTTGTCTGTACCTGTGCTTGTGTCTGTACCTGTGCTTGTATCTGTACCTGTGCTTGTGTCTGTACCTGTGCTTGTATCTGTACCTGTGCTTGTGACCGTACCTGTGCTTATGACCGTACCTGTGCTTGTGTCCGTACCTGTGATTGTGTCTGTACCTGTGATTGTATCTGTACCTGTGCTTGTATCTGTACCTGTGCTTGTGTCTGTACCCGCCCCTCCTGACCTGACCAGTAGATGATTTTGGTGTCTGAGGAAGGATTTTTTTTTTCAGTTGTGCTCTAACTTTCTAAGGCAGCCATCGATCGGGGAAGAAGAAATCATTGAGAAATATTGTGTTAGGTCCTGGCCAAGTGATACCCGTGGTGTTATTGAATGATTGGGGCATGAGGGTGGCAGGCTTGGGCACATGAGGGTGGGTATTGCGGGCGTACGGGTGGTGGGTGGGATGTGTTATGAGTAATGGTGTGTGGTGGTGAGATGGTGGTGGAAGGCGGAACTGGGTGGGTAAGTGGTGGTGGAGGGTAGAACTGGGCGGTAAGTGTTGGTGGTTGGAGGGCGGAACTGGGTGGTAAGTAGTGGTGGAGGGTAGAACTGGGCGGTAAGTGTTGGTGGTTGGAGGCGGAACTGGGTGGTAAGTAGTGGTGGAGGGTAGAACTGGGCGGTAAGTGGTGGTGGTTGGAGGGCGGAACTGGTGGTAAGTGGTGGTGGAGGGTAGAACTGGGCGGTAAGTGGTGGTGGTTGGAGGCGGAACTGGGCGGTAAGTGTTGGTGGAGGGGTAGAACTGGGCGGTGAGGTGGTGGAGGCGGAACTGGGTGGTAAGAAGTGGTGGTGGAGGTAGAACTGGGCGGTAAGTGGTGGTGGAGGGTAGAACTGGGCAGTAAGTGTTGGTGGTTGGAGGCGGAACTGGGTGGTAAGTGGTGGTGGAGGTAGAACTGGGCGGTAAGTATTGGTGGTTGGAGGCGGAACTGGGCAGTAAGTGGTGGTGGAGGGTTAGAACTGGGCGGTAAGTGGTGGTGGAGGCTGGGCAGTAAGTGATGGTGGATGGCGGAACTGGGTGGTGAGTGGTGGTGGAGGCGGAACTGGGTGGTAAGTGGTGGTGGAGGCGGAACTGGGTGTGGAAGTGGTGGTGGAGGCAGAACTGGTGGTAAGTGGTGGTGGAGGCGGAACTGGGTGGTAAGTGGTGGTGGAGGCGGAACTGGGCGGTGAGTGGTGGTGGTTGGAGGCGGAACTGGGTGGTGAAAGTGGTGGTGGAGGGCCGAACTGGGCGGTAAGTGGTGGTGGTGAGGCCTTGGTCTAGTATCACTTGCTGTAATGTGAAGTGGGTGGGTGGGGTCACTTTCACCTGCTTCGCCGCCCCCTCCACCCATGCCACCACCTCATCCTCCTCCCCCTCTTCTCCTCCTTCCCTTCTCCTCCCTCCCCCTCTTCTCCCCCTCCTTCCCTTCTCCTTTCCACTGTCATCTCTTCTCTTTCTCTCCCTCATCTCTGGCATTCTTCCTCTACCTCCCCCTCCCCTCTACCTCCCTCCTCTCCTCCTCCTCCCCTCTCACCTCCCTCCCTCACCTCCTCCTCCCTCTCTACCTCCTCCTCCCTCACCTCCCCTCTACCTCCCTCCCTCTCTACCTCCCCTCCCTCTCCTCCTCCTCCCTCTCTACCCTCTCATCCCTCTCTTTCCCTCACGAGTCAGTTGGGGAGTATGGTGGCAGTATTCACTATCAGGAACCGCCTGACGGGCCGCTGGGGAAATCGCATCCCCCCGTCAGCTTAAATGTTGTTTGTGTCCTCGAGCTGACGAGAGTGGGTGGTGGGTCAAGTGGGTCCCGGTACTAATGGGCCCCGGTAGTAAGGGGTCCCAGTATTAATAGACCTGACTAATGGGCCGGTGGTGGGGTCCCAGTGTTGACCTGGTACTAATGGGCCCCAGTACTAATGGGCCCCGGTTCTAATGGGCCCCGGTGCAATGGGCCTGGTACTAATGGGCGCCGGTACTAATGGGCCCCGGTTCTAA